CAGCCGTCATTGTTTGGCGGGTCCGGGCTGGGGACTTGAACCCGCCACCTTAGGTGTACGTGGCTGGCGCCTTAGCCGGTTGAGCTATAGGCGCTGAGCCGGAATGTTTTTTTAAAGTGAAATAATGGACCATAACACAGCCTATCTCAAAACTTTCATAGTGAGGGCGGTGCCTGTGGCTTAGTAAGTAGGGTGCTGGCCCCTTTTACTGAGGGTGGTGGGTTCGAACCCGGCCCCAGCTACACTGCAAGAAAAAAATAGCCAGGCATTCTACTGGGCACCTGTAGTCCTAGCTACTGGGGATGCTGATGCAAGAGAATCGCCTAGGCCCAGGTTTGGAGGTTTCTGTGAGCTGTGATGCCACTGCACTCTACCAAGGACGATAAAGTGAGACTCTGTCTCTTAAAAAAGAAAAAATTCATAGTGATCCATGAATAGATAATTTCATTTTTAAGGGATTCTGATATCTGAAAACATGGATATAATACTTTTATAATAGTTCATATTGTAGAATTTCTAAACCTAAAGAAGAGGACAGAATTATTTATTTATTTTTGAGGTAGAGTCTCACTTTGTGGCTCTCAGTAGAGTGCTATGGTGTCACAGCTCACAGCAACCTCCAGCTCTTGGGCTTAGCTGATCTCTTGCCTCAGCCACCTGAGTAGCTGGGACTGCAAGCACCCACCACAATGCCCAGCTATTTCTAGAGATGAAGTCTGCCTCTGGCTCAGGCTGGTCTCGAACCTGTGAGCTCAGGCAGTCCACTTGCCTCAGCTTCCCAGAGTGCTGGGATTATAGGTGTGAGCCACTGCACTGAGTTGAGAGGACAGATTTAAAGCAGGCCATGAAGAGTATAATTATAGTTTTTGAAAGAAAATATTTATCTAAAATTGATTTTTCTACCATTAAGAAAATATATATCAGGGTGGTGCCTGTGGTTCAGTGAATAGGGCACTGGCCTCATATACTGAGGGTGGTCAATTTGAACCCAGCCCCGGCCAAACTGCAACAAAAAATAGCTGGGCGTTGTGGTGGGTGCCTATAGTCCCAGCTGCTCGGGTGGCTGAGGCAAGAGAATCAGCTGAGCCCAAGAGCTGGAGGTTGCTGTGAGCTGTGATACCATGGCACTCTACTGAGAGCAACAAAATGAGACTCTGTTTCTAAAAAAAAAAAATGAAAATGGGTTAGGCATGGTGACTCACACCTATAATCCTAGCATTCTTGGAGGCCGAGGCAAATGTATTGCCTGAGCTCATGGGTTTAAGACCAGCCCGTGCAAGAGTGAGACCCCCTCTCTAAAAATAGCTGGGTGTTGTGGCAGGTACCTATAGTCCCAGCTTCTTGGGAGGCTGAGGCAAGAGACTCACATGAGCCCAAGAATTTGAGGTTGCTGTGAGCTATGATGCCACAGCACTCTACTGAGGGTGACAAAGTGAGATTCTGTCTCAAAAAATAAATAAATAAATAAAATTTAAAAATAAAGGTATCTATTTTCGGAGTACAATTTGATGAATTTTAGCCTGGTATGGTGGTGGTATAAGTTTCTAGAGCCAGCTATTTGCATGGTTGAGGCAAGAGGGTCACTGAGCTCAGGAGTCAGAGACCAGCCTAGGTAGCAACCTAATAAGACCTTATCTCTAAAAAACTGAAAAAAATAATCTGATGAGTTTTTGACAAACGTATGCTATGCATAACCACCACCAAAAATCAAAGAATAGGGCAGTGCCTGTGGCTCAAGGAGTAGGGCGCCAGCCTCATATGCCAGAATTGGGGGTTCAAACCCGGTTCTGGCCAAAAACTGCAAAAAAACACCCAAAAAACAAAAAATCAAAGAATAGAATATTTCCGTCATACCAAAAGTTTCCTTTGTGCCACTTCACCATTATTCCTCCCTTATCCTCAGCAACCACCAGTTTGTTTTCTGTTATTAGAGATTTTCTAGAGATTTGTCTTTTAGAGTTGTCTTGTCCAATAGCATATAACCACTAGCCAAATTAACTTTTTAAAGCAAATTAAAATTAAATATAACTTAAATGTAACTTAAAATTAAGTTATTTGTATTAGTTACATAGCAAATGTTTAATAGCCATGTGTGGCTAGTGACTTCCTTATTAGCTAGCATAAATATAAAACCTTCCCCATCATAGAAAGTTCTAGTCTCTTTTTTCTGTTCTATTAAGGTATTTGTCTGTCCTTACATCAGTACCACACTCTCTTGATAACTGTAGCTGTTAGTAAGTCTTGATGTCAACTACTAGTAATTCTCCAACTTTGTTCAGCATTGTCAGAGTTCTTTTAGTTATTTTAAGTCCTTTGCATTTCTGCATACATTTTAAAATTTACTTGTCAATTTCTACAGAAAAAAACGAAAAAGGCTTGAGGTGGGTGAAGCGGCCCACATCTGTAATCCCAGCAGTCTGGGAGGCCAGGATGGGTAGATTGCTTGAACTTAGGAGTTCCAGACCAGCCTGAGCAAAAGTGAGACCCTGTCTCTACTAAAAATAGAAGAACTGTCTGGGCATGCTGGTTCGTACCTGTAGTTTCATCCTTTTTTTTTTTTAGACAGAGTCTTACTATGTCACCCTTGGTAGAGTACTCTGGCGTCACAGCTCATGGCAACCTCAAACTCTTGGGCTTAAGCTCTTGCCTCAGCCTCCCAAGTAGCTGGGACTATAGGTACCCGCCGCAACTCCCAGCTATTTTTGTAGAGATGGGGTCTCCGCTCGTGGTCAGGCTGGTCTTGAACCTGTGAGGTCAGGCAATCTTAGCCTCTCAGAGTTCTAGGATTACAGGTGTTAGGCACCATACCTGGCCAAGTATTACTCTTTTAATAGTTTCTTCCTTTTTAAAATTTGGATACTTTTTTTGACCTCTCTGTATTTAGTTTAATAACTATGTTACAATTAATTTCACTTATTTCTCTTCTATAATGGGGAAGCAACCTTTTTTGGTGCCATGACTCAGATATGAGTCGAAAAACAATATTTTATATTTCCTTTGGAAAGAGCTGTTCTAAAATGTTACTAACTTCTTTGCTTCAAGCCAGAAGTTTAATGAGACCCTGTCTATACAAAAAAAAAAAAAAAAAACTTTTTTTTTTTTTTGAGACAGTTTTACTATGTTGCCCTCAGTAGAGTGCTATGGCATCACAGCTCACAGCAACCTCAAACTCTTGGACTTAAGCGATTCTCTTTCCTCAGCCTCCCAAATAGCTGGGACCACAGGTGCCTCCCTCCATGCCCAGCTGTTTTTTGGTTGTAGTTGTCATTGTTGTTTGGCAGACCCAGGCTGGATTTGAACCTGTCAGCTCTGGTATAGGCGCTGAGCTATAGGTGCCAAGCCAGTACAATAATTTAAAAAAATACTAGCCATAGTGTTACACAGCTGTAACCCTGTCTCTAAAAACCAAAAAATGTCACTAACTTCAAAAAATTATTTATTTGTAGATGAAGAAATATCTCCAGAACAAATCATGCAAGAAAAGCAAATTGAAGCGTATGTCATATTTTGAATTTTATTTATGGTCTTTACTAAGATTTAATCATATTTTCTATTATAACATGGTCATTTTCCTTTCTATTATTTTTCCAAATTATTTGTCATGTGTGTTTTAGGGAAGTTGTTAATTTAGGATGGAGACTTACCTGTACGTGAGTGATTCCACTGGAACTCTCTGGCATTCTCCCTTACGAGATACTGAGCAAAGTAGCTCAGGAGGCTTCAATTTATCAAGTACATGTTAACAGAATGGTTGCAGAACAGCCTGAAGAGAAATACAGTCACTTGTAGAATAATACTTTTAATTTGATAGAAGTGTTTTAATTATTTTCAAAGTCCTACTTTATACATTTATTTCAATAATAAGTTGTTCTGATATTGCTGAAATTCTTTTCTTGCTGTTTCTTTGGCAGCAAAATTGAAGACTTGGAGAATGAAATTGAAGAGGTAAAAATTGCTTTTGAAGTGAAAAATCTTGCATTAAACAGGTAATTATTATATTTTAAATTTAAGAATTGTGAACTGAATGCAAAATGGGTATGGGGCAAGGTGGAAAGAATGTTTTAACTAGGCTAAATGAATTAGTCAAGTGAAATAATGGTTAAGGGTCACACACATTTTGAGCTGTGAAAGAACATTTACATTACAGATGCTCTTCAACTTAAGGATGGGCAACCCATCAAAGGCTTGGCACCTGTAGCACATTGGTTACAGCGCCAGCCGCATACACCAAGGGTGGCAGGTTCAAACCCAGCCCAGACCAGCTAAACAACTGCAACAAAAAAATAGCTGGTGTTGTGACAAGTGCCTGTAGTGCCAGCTACTTGGGAGGCTGAGGCAAGAGAATTGCTTAAGCCCAAGAGTTTGAGGATACTATGAGCTGTGATGCCATGGCACTTTACCCGGGGGGACACAGTGAGACTCTCAAAAAAAAAGAAAAAGCATCAAAAATTGAAAATATCATAAGTTGGGTGGATGCAGTGGTTCACACCTATAATCCCAACACTCTGGGAGGCCAAAGCATATGGATTGCTTGAGCTTAGGAGTTTGACGCCAGCCTGAATAATAGACCTCATCTCTTTTTTTTTTTTTTTTTTTTTGAGACAGAGCCTCAAGCT